CATATCCTTTCACCTGTATAGATTACAGATATCTGCTTTCTCTCGCAGAAGAGACGAGCTGATTCTTGACTGTCATCATCTGCTATGTATTCTAGTTTACTCAACTCTTTGATTATGCCAAATTCACAGGGTTTCGCTATTGGTTCTGCTGCTCTTGTCTCACTGGCACTCTTTGGTGCCTTCGTCAGCCGTGCCTCAATCACAACGGTCGATGTGTTGACACCGAAAGTATTCATTGGGTTGATTGTCGGGGCAATGCTTCCATACTGGTTCTCTGCCATGACAATGAAGTCTGTAGGAAGTGCAGCATTGAAGATGGTTGAGGAGGTTCGTAGGCAGTTCAACACCATTCCTGGACTAATGGAAGGTACTGCTAAGCCTGACTATGCCACCTGCGTCAAGATCTCCACTGATGCCTCTATCAAGGAAATGATCCCACCTGGCGCACTTGTCATGCTCACTCCCCTCGTTGTCGGCATCTTCTTTGGTGTTGAGACCCTCTCCGGTGTCCTTGCAGGATCTCTCGTGTCCGGTGTGCAGGTAAATGCCAGATATCAGATTCCTATATTGCTGATCTTGAATAGCTCTCGATGCTTGACCTGTTCTTAACGCGGGTTTTGCATTTGTGTACACTGCAGATTGCTATCTCTGCATCGAACACTGGTGGCGCATGGGACAACGCCAAGAAGTACATTGAGGTAATAATATATTTCCTCCTTTTCCTTTCGACTGGTACAATGCTTGCTCCAATTTGTCATTGAATTTGAGTAAATTCTTGAATTTTGGGATGTTGTTCCAGGCTGGTGCATCGGAACATGCAAGATCGCTCGGCCCAAAAGGATCAGACCCACACAAGGCAGCAGTCATTGGCGACACCATTGGCGACCCGTTGAAGGACACATCTGGACCATCTCTCAACATCCTCATCAAGCTCATGGCTGTCGAGTCCCTCGTCTTTGCCCCATTCTTCGCCACTCACGGTGGCTTGCTGTTCAAGCTTTAAGGAAAACACCAATGGTGAAGTATTCAACCAGAGGAGCATCAAGGTGCTTGCTGTCTGGGTTCCTCTTTTGTTTACCCTCTTCCCCTCCCCCCAAATCTCCCATCCTTCCATAGCCTTCATTCCTTAGATAGTTCAGATTATATGTAGTCTGTAGCTGTTCGTTGTCTTTGACAAGTCTTTCGAGATAAACAAACGGGTTTGTATGTTCTTCTCCCACATGGGGGGAAAGAGGTCGATAACGACGAAGATATGTATGACGAGGAGAAGAACAATGTCGGTTATGTCGAATCCTCGTGATGAAGGCCAGAAGAGAGTTGTGACTTAGTTTTATATGTTTCTTCATTAGCAAGAAAGAACATTTACATTTTTCGTGTAATCCCAGTGTCTTCATTCATCTTTTGAGCTCATTTTCAGTGACATCTTTTTGGTCTTGGCAATTCCTCTTTTCTATTTGAGGTGTGACTGTCTTTGCCGTTACTTTCCCTTACCTCCTAGTTTGCTGAGACTTGGTTAGTAATACCATGGAGGAGCTACTGTGCTTTTTCTGTAGCTGTAGCTTGAGTGCTGCACTTGGGTATCGAATTGCGGAAGAATGGTATGGCCTCCTTTGAGATCAACTACTTGGTATCAGATTTTGGGTTCGACAAAAGTCTTTATTTTCTCTGATACATGGCGCATAACATAAACTTCAGCTTCCAGACACTGGAAGCTGGAACTTGCCTCCAGAAGGCTTTATTTTTTCACATACATGGAGCAGAACACAAACTTCAGATTTCAGAGGTTGAAATCTGGAACAGGGGAAATTTTAAAAGTGAAAAAGTTCCAGACTTTATCCAAGAGAACTTCAAACTCTGGCATCGTCGATGAGTGTCCTCCCACTCTTATAGTAATCAAAATGAGTGGTTTCTCCATATATCACCTTCCTGTACAACGATGGCCTCTCTTCATTCACCAGCTCTTCAATCGGTTCGACTCCCATTTGCGGGTTAGAAAGAGAGAGCACAGCAAGAGAAACTCTCTCCCTTTCTGAATCCACCATTCCCCTGTGGTACAAGCTCTTGAACTCTCCATTGCTCAGTATCTGCCACATATTTTCTCCATTCATCCATGTTAAAGGAAACGAAAGCAACAAAGCTAATTTACCTCCACCAAACTAATCACTGTGAATGATTTACTACATTATACCTCTAGCTGCTCCCCAACATTGATGACAAGGGCATCTGGAACTATGGGAACTCTGAACCACTGCCCATCTTTCAGAATCTGCAGGCCTTCAAGTTCTTTGTCCTGCAGGAGAACGGTGAGCACCGTCGAATCGAAGTGTGGCTTGAGGCCGAAGACGAGATCTGGCCTCGGACAGGAAGGGTAGAAGTTGAATCTTGCATACATTATCCATGGCTCCCCCATCTTGTGCAGAAAGCTGGTCTCTTTCAGATTCATTGACCTGGCTAGTGCCTTCAGGATGACTTCATACACTGTTACCAACTTGCTGCTGTATTCATCCACAACTTCCCTGCATCGGTTTTTCATGAAATCAATTGCTTGTTGCTCAAGTAAAAAAATCAAAACTACGCGAATAAGCCCCGAAAACTTCATAAAACCTGAACTCTGGTGGATTCTCAGGCCAATACTTCAGCTGTCTGAACTCCTCGGGATGAATAGTGATCCTCAATCTGGCGCCCCAATCGCGAGCAAGGAAATCGTTAGGGGCAGGGTCACTGCCATACCCTTCAAACCCATCAACTTCCCTCTTCCATTTGAGCTTCTCTTCTTCTGGCAGCGCCACGAATTGCTTGAACAGCGTCCTCAATTTGTCAAGAAACCAACTCTCCACTCCATGGTTTGTTACCTGTACACATAGAAACCATCATCCAGTCTCATATCAAACGTTGAGCAGTCAAAATGAAACGTCAGAAGAAGGAAAATGGAAGAAGAAGAATAAGAAGAAAAAAGCAGACAATCATGCAGCCATATGCGCTGAGAGCTGAGCGGATCTTTTGATCAGCTTCAGAAGGAACAGTGAGCTGGCCAATGTCAATGATGGGAATGTCTATCAGTGGAAGCAGAGAAGGGTGTTCATGGTGGCCTTCACGGATGTATTTGGCTTCTGGGTTCCTGCCACTGATGGGAATTTCTTTCACAGCTTCCATGGTTGATGTGCTTAATTAGCTGATTATGAATGTTTTGCATGAATGGAAAATGGTTTTGGTTTGGCTTTTATAGAGGGATGTGGATAAGGCAATAAGGGGCAGTTTCAGGTTTTGCATGGAAGACTGACAAATGGGCTAAAAGGGGTGCTAGGGTTCTGAAGGATTCAGAATACACGTATAGAACATGCATGCAATTCTGGTGGTTGTTACAACAAGGTTGAAAGCATGCAAGGAACTGACAAGGTGAGGTGTTATTCTTATCTTTACCTTGATTTGGACAGAGATTCGGACAAGGTGTTTGATGAAATGCCTGAGAGAGATTTCTTAGCGTGGACAACGATGGTTTCCATGGCGACCTCCGAGATCAGCTGACTGATCGGTGGAGTGGTACCTTTGTTGGTTCGTACATTGATTCAGTAGAACCTGAGCTCAGATTTTGCCATGGAACAAAAAGCTTTTCATATTCTTCATATAAATGGAGAACATGACATAAAACTTCAGACTGATAACAGAAACTGAATAACCCAGAACAGAGTAAGTTCAGAAAGCTGGAAAGTTTCAGACTTTATCGACAAACACTTGAAATGATTCTCTTCCTACTCTGGTAGTAACGAAGTTGCAGACTTTCTTCATGATTTCACCATCTCGAACAGCAATTAATGGGCGCTCTTCATTCACCTGGAACGATGGGAAACAGAGTAAGTTCAGAAAGCTGGAAAGTTTCAGACTTTATCGACAAACACTTGAAATGATTCTCTTCCTACTCTGGTAGTAACGAAGTTGCAGACTTTCTTCATGATTTCACCATCTCGAACAGCAATTAATGGGCGCTCTTCATTCACCTGGAACGATGGGAACTCTGAACCACTGGCTATCTTTCTCCATCTGCAGGCCTTCAACTTCTTTAATTTGACTTCAGCTGTCACAAGCAATAAATGGTTGAAAACTTGTAAGCAAGAGAATGGAATGTTTTCTAATACCTTTTATCAACTTCCAACATATTGGCGACAAGAAACATCTCGCGCGACATAACAGACATATCTTATTGGGGCACGATAGTTAATGAGGTGACGAAAGCTATACTAGCATTTTCCCGCTTAGCATGTCTTTTCCGTAGCTTGAATCGTACATAAATTGCCTTCGTTTCTAAAATTGTAGAAGTTAAGAAGATGAAATAGTTGAGACTGATCAGTCTCTATCAAGTATTCTACAAACCGACAAGTCGACAACGAAGCTATGCCTATATGTCAATAAATAAGCTAGAGTTCTTCTATATATCATCTCCCCATGTCAAATTGGCTTTATTTGTGGAAGATAAATAATTGGTAGAAAGTCATTAAAAAAACTTCATAGAAGTGGCAGACTATGCATTATGGACCTCAAGCTAGATATTAAAAGAGTTTTGATAGAATAGAATGAGACTTTCTTCTATAAATAATCATAAAAGTGAGAGACTGTCCAATGGTGACAAAAAAAAAAAAAATCCTACGACATAACAGACAAATCTTATTGGGGCACGATAGTTAATGAGATGACAACATTTTTCCGCCAAGCATGTCTTTTCCGTAGTGCTGGTCTTCATTCCTAAAACTGTTGAAACTAAGACGACGAGACAGTTGAGACCGGTTAGTCTCTCTCAAGTGTTAAGCAAACCGACAACGAAGCTACCGGTCAATAAATTAGTGAGAGTCCTTCCATGTGTCATCTTCCTATGTCAAATTGACTTTATTCGTGGAAGATAAATAATTGATGACATCAAGTCAAGTCAAGTCTCCTTGTTGATTTCCAAGTTGCCCACTTTCCATTGCGTTATCTGGTTGTGGGATGTGGTTTTGAATTCTCCAGTGATGTCAGTGCTTAATGTCTGGGATCACATTATGGAAAAACACTTCAGATTACATAAACTGAAAAAACCAGAACAGGGTAAGTTAATTAAGAAAGCTATGAAAGGAAGTTTCAGGCTTTCAGATTATGGCATCATCAAAGACTCTCACTCCAATAAATTTCTTTTTGTTTAATTGCAGAGGTAATTACAGATTCGACCCGCATAAAATTACTGAAATTGTTCTAGGAAGGATCCAACTCTATGTTATTCTGCCGCTTGGTTGGTCCTGAATTTATATATGAAGCCTGCTGTGCATCGAGTTTGATGTGTATGTCTTAATTTCTCAGAGCCTCCCTGTTTCCCGCCTACAATTATTATTATGCTTTCTCGAGCCAATTTGATAGTTACTCACTTGAAGCAATGCTCCAAGATCAGAGATTTGGATTCGGCACTAGGCAATATGATCAAAGTAGCAGCAACCCAAGATTGCTTTCTAATGAACCAATTCATCACGGCTTGTTCTTCCGTTGGCGCGACGGAACAGGCCGTTTCCGCGGCTGCCCAGATGGAGAATCCGAATGTTTTTGTTTACAACGCGATGCTAAAAGGATTCGTCGAGAATCGTCGACCCGTTGAGGCTCTCGAGTGCTATATTCAGCTGATGAGAGCTCAGTTGTCGCCGACGAGTTATACCTTTTCGTCTCTGGTTAAAGCCTGCAGCTTTGTTGGCGGCGATGGTGGGAGGGTTGGGGAATCAGTTCATGGGCAGATTTGGAGACATGGGCTTGCTTCGAGCGTGTTTGTCTGCACGACGTTGATAGAGTTTTACTTTGATTTGGACAGAATTGGTGCGTCCGTCAAGGTGTTTGATGAAATGCCTGAGAGAGATGTCTTCGCGTGGACCACGATGGTTTCTTGTCTTGCTCGTGCAGGGGATTTGAGTTCCGCAAGGAGGTTGTTTGACTTGATGCCTGGAAGGAATGTTGCTACTTGGAACACATTGTTGGGCGGATATGCAAGATTGGGGGATGTAGTATCGGCTGAATTGCTATTCAATCAAATGCATGCTAAAGATGTTATTTCATGGACTACGATGATCAACTGCTATTCCCAGAACAAGAAATTCAGAGAAGCATTAGGAGTCTTCAATGAGATGACCAAGAATGAGATTCCTCCTGATGAAGTGACCTTGGCAAGTGTGATTTCAGCATGCGCCCATCTCGGAGCCCTTGACTTAGGCAAGGAAATCCATTACTATGTGATGCAGAATGGATTCGAACTCGATGTCTATATCGGATCTTCTCTTATCGATATGTATGCAAAATGTGGATCCCTAGAGCGGTCTCTTTTGGTGTTTTACAAATTGAGAGATAAAAACCTCTTCTGCTGGAACTCCATCATCGAAGGGCTCGCAGTCCATGGATACGCAGAAGAAGCTCTAGCAATGTTTTCCAAGATGAAGAGGGAGAGAATCAAACCGAATGGGGTGACTTTCATCAGCATCCTAAGTGCTTGTGCTCACTCGGGGCTTGTTGAAGAAGGCCGAAAGTGGTTCAAGAGCATGACTTGTGATTATCATTTCCCTCCACAACTAGAGCATTATGGTTGTATGGTTGATCTATTGAGCAAAGCCGGTTTGCTCGAAGAAGCTCTCAGGCTTATTAGAACCATGAACTTGGAACCAAATGCTGTTATTTGGGGAGCATTGCTTGGCGGATGCAAGCTTCACAGGAACTTTGAGATTGCACAGATTGCTGTTGAGGAGTTGATGGTATTAGAACCGGGGAATAGTGGCCATTATGCTCTTTTGGTTAGCTTGCACACTCAGGTTAACCGGTGGAGTGATGCTGCAAACATTAGGTGGAAGATGAAGGAACTTGGAGTTGAAAAGTGTTCTCCTGGGTCCAGTTGGATTGAGGTTGAGAAGAGAGTTCATCAGTTTGCTGCATCGGATAAGTCTCACCATTCCTCGGTTGACATACTGTCTGTGTTAAATCAACTAGATGGGCAGTTAAAACGAGCTGCAAATAGACCTCCTGGACTTTGCCTTCAGTAAAAGATTTCAAATTTCAGGAAGATGGTTACTTCTACGTTGTACAATTGTTTGCAAATTTAGCCTACAACACCAAGGAGGCATAGCTTGTTAGTGAAGCTTAAATTCTCGCGTCATCGACCACTCTTCTTCCACTCTGATAGTAGCGAAGGTGAGTTCTTCCATTGTACTTCATCTTCCTGAATAGCCTAGGCCTTTCTTCACTGACCAAACCTTCAACTGGTTCTATTTCATTACCATCGTGAGGAATAGAAGGTGCAGCCAGGGATATCCTCTTCCTCTCAGAGTTCACTACTGCTCTGTGAATCGGGCTCTTGAACTCTCCATTGCTCATTATCTGTTCACATATTTCATTCATATCATATTGTGTTAGATGCTTAAATCTCAGTTTCCCATCATGGCATTGGCATCCAAAACGACTTATAGCTTACTTACCTCTAGGTGTTCGCCAGCATTGAGGACCAGAGCATCCGGGATCACCGGAACTCTAAACCATTGACCATCTTTCAGAACTTGAAGGCCTTCCACTTCTTTGTCTTGCAGGAGAAAAGTGATCACTGTTCCATCAGAATGTGGCTTGAGCCCAAGGACTTGATCTGGCCTCGGACATGGAGGGTAGAAGTTGAATCTTGCAGACATGATCACCGGTTCTCCAATCATCCGCAGAAAGACGCTCTCATCCAGCTTCAATGACTTTGCCATGGCCTTCAGCATGACATCATGAAGCACCTGCAACTTGGTGCTGTATTCATGGAGAACTTCCCTGAAGCAAGTTGGTAATTGATGAGAACTTATCATTCTTTCTTGAGGTTGAAGCTAAATGAGTTAATGATTGGAGAGTTTACTTGAAATTTTTTGGGTTTTCAGGCCAATATTTCATCTGTCTCATTTCTTCAGGGCATGTTATAAGGCGCAATCTGTGGGACCAATCATGCACCATTACATCTGTGACTAATGGGTCACTCCCGTATCCTTGAAACCCTTCTGTCCAGCATTCGAGCTTCTGTTCTGTCGGTAGTGCGAGGAATTGCTTGAACACCGTCCGAACTTTGTCAAGAAGCAAACTTTCCACTCCATGGTTTATTATCTGAAACAAAGGGTGACCCATCTTTACTGCAATCATTCTGCAAAATGAAATGAAACTGAAGAGAAGAAGGAACGAGCCAAACCAAGATACATCCGTATGAACTCAGAGCTGCACGGAGTTTCTCAAGTTCTTTTCCTGTGTCAGTGGAAGGATTTGTGAAGTGACCCACGTCAATCACTGGAATGTCGATGAAGGGTAGAAGAAAAGGGTCTTTCCCTCCATTGATCCCATCGGGATGGATGTACTTTGCAGGAAGGTTCTCTCCACCGACAGCCGCCAGTTCGGTCAAGGAATCCATGAAGCTGTTTGCTGCTGCTGCTGCTGCTGCTGCTGCTCTAGAATGGCTGGCAACCTGGGAACTGGACGTTCTATTATGAAGCTTCCAGGGGAACCATGCACATTGACAAATGGCAAAGGGCGTTGATGAGTTTCCAATCAACGTGTAGAGCATGCCGAAGAGCAAATCTCTGCAGAGAAAGAAAGGATCATTCTAATTCTTGGATTCTAGTTCTTACTGGGGTAGTTTCGATCCAATAAGTAGCAACCTGCTGCTGCTACTAACGTTCGGAAAACAGCTGTTCTTAGCTGTCGAATGGTTTCTTCCTCAGGAAAAAGCTTACAGCTTTACAAGCACAAGCAAGAGACTCGTGTGGCCAAAGACATGACAATTTCCCCACCCACCTATCTCAGCTAAGTTGACGTGTACAGCATGCATGGCATTGGATGCTCAAATAATGCTGACATAAATGGTATGAGGCTTCTAATTGTTTGACTTTCTGGCATCTCAATATTGTTGACATAAATCCGTGTTCGTGATATTGTACCGTACCGATCAGGAAGATTTCAGTAATTTGAGTTTTCTTTAAAGAGATTCTTGATATACAAGTAATTCGTTGCACATTTTCTCAATCGGAAATCTATTAGATGATTTCTTCAGTCCATCAAACATTAATATTAGAGCTAATATCATATTAGAATTAGTTGTTAGAAGAGGTGCAAGTTGGGCTCCTAACGACATGATACACGTTCCTCGTTGTTTTTATGTAGAATACAAAGTAGCGATGAAGGTACGATTCCGTACTTTGTTTGATTCGAAACGCGAACAATCTCCCAAGTAGTCGCACGGAGGTGGGGCCCTTGTGATAAGCCAGCCGCCTTTGTCTTGGGTACGCCGAATTCCTAAAAATACAAAGACGAAAGATCTTATCATTAGTTAGCAACTGATCTTCTATATTATATAGAGTTGGAATAAGTATGCTCTTTCTAAAATCAAAGATCACATCATTCCATTATAATATCGATTTCGCCATATATCTATAATCATACTCATAAAATCTTGTAACGATTCGAGTTGGAATAAGTATGCTCATATAGAATTTTGTATTTTATTTCGTCTCCAATCAATCTCACCGATTCCATTTCACATCATAAACATTGGAAGTAAAAAAAAAAAGATGCACTAACGATGAAAATTGAAAAAACTCCAATACATTGACAATCAAGGCTGAATAAACATATTTTCAAGTAAGAGTCTTTTTGGATAGAAAACCCTAATCAAAGTTCTAATCTAGGGATTGAATCCAAGGCCTGGAGGCGCAGTAGCCCTTCAAAGCGTAGCCGAAGTAAGGGTTCGTCAGCGGCGCGAACGCCGTCGTCACGCACTCGTCGGAAACTCGCCGGATCGATTCGCAGCAACCCGCCGACAGCGAAACCCTTCCGCTCCAGAACGACGACAAGATCTGACCCTCGCAAGTCCCCTCCATGATCAACGATCCCACGCACCTCCCGTACACGTACGGATCCCACGGCCGCCGGTCGCTTCCCGCCGCCGACGACGGGTACTGCCGGTAGTACCCCGCCGGGTACTGCTGCTGAGCTGGCTGCGGCCGCGGCGGCCAAAATCCACCTCCAACGCCGGCGGCTTCAGCCGGCCGGAGTAGGAAGCAGAGAAGGAATACGATTAGCAAGTTCTTCGTCGCCATTGATGAATTAACCGTTGGTGATTGGGAGGAAGGAAAGCAAGGATTTCTAGGGTTAATGTTAATCTCTCCCGCTTTTTTTATAGGTGGTGGATTGCAGCTTTGCCGCCAAAAGAAGAGCTGATTCGTCGCGGGATTCCTAATCGTGCTTGGAATCGGAGAAAAAGGTGGGGCTTAAAGCTTAATTCCCCCATTATCATATTCCGTAACTACTTAGGCTTTGTTAATCACAACTGTTACGTGATCCTTTATCTCAGCCTGAAGAACTATGGAAGTATTTCATGCTCCAATGGTACCGTTGCAAAATATGGCCGCTGTCTAAGGTACACATTCGATTCATCTTCATATGAGGTCGAAACGAACGTAAATGTTTACGTCGAAAATTTTGAATTTCAGTGATTAATTTGTTAGTGATCTCGCATTTGTGTAAGAAGAAAAGTAACAAGCAACTAATTGAAGAGCATTGTCAGTTTAGTGTAGGAATGGTCCGAGATTGCAACGAACTGAAAGAAATATAAGGAGGATCAAAGCATGGCTGCCTCGATCGGCCTCCTCCCTCGCTGGTAGTACTCGAAGTAGATACTAACATAGTCCTTAACCTTCCTGTACAGAGCTGGCCGGGTCTCGCTGATCAATCCTTCATCTGGTTTGATCTCTTGCCCTGCAGAAGGGATGCAGAACACTGCTAGGCTGTGCCTATCCTTCTCCGAATTCGTCACCACTCTATGCACCGGACTCTTGAACACTCCGTTGCTCATGATCTGCAGGTTCATCGTTTCATCACCATAGACAGTAATTAGATTCAATGGTTGCTAATCGGGCCCTGGTCGAGCCATAACAAAATGACGGGAACTCTGCTTGAAGAACTACTAAACTTACCTCTGCTTGATCACCAACGTTAACCAGGAGAGCATGTGGGATGATGGGAACTGTGAACCATTCATTGTCCTTCAGGAACTGCAGACCTCCCACTTCTTTATCCGGCAGAAGGAACGTGAGAGCTGATGCATCCGCGTGTGGTTTCACTCCGATGATTTGATCCGGTCTTGGACATGGAGGGTAGAGATTGAACCTTGCCGTCATCAATGCACCTTCTCCATATTGGTCCAGAAAGCAGTTCTCCTCCAAATCGAGTGATTTCGCCATGGCTTTCAGCAGAATCTGGTTTAGCTCTCCCAGCTTCACCCCATATTCCTGCAGTGTTTCCCTAGCGAGGTAAATAAAGTTCAGCACTTTTCCCTTTGATGCTCCAAACAGATATGATAAAAAGAGTTTCTGAATGTGAATCACCTGAAAGTCTCGGGCTTTTCTGGCCAGAACTTGAGCTGGACCTGGTTTGGAGGGTTCAAGGTGAGGTACAATCTGTCAATCCAATCAAGCGTTTGATTCTCTGCAACTATCATGTCAGTCCCATACCCTTCAATGCTATCAGGTTCTCTGATGTATCTGTGCTTCTCTTCCTTTGGAAGATCAAAGAACTGCTTGGAGATTTCATGGACTCTGTCCACAAATGAATCTGTCATTCCATGGTTCACTACCTGCAACACAGACAAGAAAAACACCTATCAACCCCAAAACTATGGATCCAAACGGGGACCACTTCCAGATATTTCCTTCATTCACATATATCCTTTCAGATAGAGGAACCCTGCAAATCCGATCACTAGTTCACCATTATCTACCCAATGAAAGCAAAAAAAACCATAAACCCATTTCAGATTTCGGTCAGACCAACCAGAAAGAAAGGAACTTTTGAATCTAGGATCAAAAGTTCTTGGGAATAAATGGAAATTGAAAGTTTGGAGAAGCACAGTGAAGAGTGAACACCTGAAAGCAGCCCCAAGAACTGAGAGCCAAGCTCAGTTTCTGGAGCTCGTGATTTGCAGCTGAAGGCGAAGAAATCAGGCTTCCAACGTCGACGGTTGGAATCTCCACCAGTGGAACTGAGGCGTTCAGAGCTCCACCGCCGCTGCCTCCGTAGTTGTACCTTTCAGATGGATCCTGCCCGTCGGTGGCCAGTTCCTGGACTGGTGTTGCCATTGAAACTGAACCCATTTTGCAGGGGAGCCGTTGACTAGCGGTTTGATCCTGTGAGCAACTTTCCCCCACTCTCCTCCTTCTGGTTTTGGTCAAAAGATGACAAAAATGGAAGTCTTCTTGGGCCTTCCCGCCGCTAGTGTATAGCTAGGTTGCGTCGAGGACTAGGAAACTTTGGGGTCCAGTTCATATCGGATTATACATACGGTCTATGGTTTACATCGGAAAGTTGCATTATTGAATAGGAATTAGACAAAATATAAGATGGTCCTGATCAGAACGGTCGGTGACCAAACGTGAAGCGATTCGTAAAGTTAGTGACGAATAAGAAAGAAAAGTAATTCGAGTGGCAAACGCCAAAAGGTTTATGTAATTTGAGTGATATTAAAGGTAAAACAAGATATTGTTAGTCTAATGTAGTTATTGTGGATTAATTTTTTAGTTAGTAGTAGATCAAACAAAAGTTTGTTGGTCTAATGTGGTTTTTTGGGTTAACCACCACTAACCAAAAAAATCAGCTACTAACTGCACTCAAGACTCAACCCACTACCCACAACTTGTGGATGTGGTCCACAATGTGTGCGGCTTAGTGGTTTATGGACAATCCACAAACCAAAACCAAACTTCGACCCATGGTGGAAACTGGGAAGCAAGGTTGTCAACCCGAGGGTTGACCCGGACCCGGTCGAGTTAGTGGGTCAAGGGTTAATGGGTCAATCGTTTTAGTCCGGTTTGGCCCGGAAATATGGAAAAAGTCATTATATTGTACTTATCCTCATAAATTATAGGCAAAATACACTTCCATAGCCATAACTTTCACGTTTGTGACAAATATAACCATAATTATTTGAAAACACAAAATAGCCAATTCCGTTCATTCTTTTAACTGTGTCAGTTAACGGTGTGACTGGACTGACGGAAAATACTGAGTTGGCGATTTATTGACCCACCCATCCACGTGGATTAATAGAAAGAAAATACAAAAAGAAAAATAAAAATAAATACATAAACATTAACCTACCTTCCTTCCCCAAAATCGCAAAAAAAAAAAAAAAAACTTCCCCAAAATCATTCCACTTTCCCAGCAGCTCTCTCTGTAACCTACCTACCTTTTCCAAGCTCTCTCCCTCTAACTTTGCCATCCATTTCCCTACCCAATAAACAAAGATGAATTGTAAACCCACCTCCGATCATCCCGCCGTTACAGACCCTTCCTCCACCGCCAATCCACCAAACCCACTCCTTAATTAGATGCATTCTCTCTCTATCTAATCTAGTCGGCTAATCAAGATAGTGAAGCAGAGAGGCACAGTACGGGTAGCAGGTGCGTCGGCGGGAGCGAGGGTGGCAGTTGGAGCGCGGGTCGCAGGACGGGAGCAATAGTGGCGGTGGATTGCGATTGCTGAACGTCCACCTCTCCGTTTGTCGTTGTCGACGGATGTTCTTGGAGATCAGCAAACGAGCAACACACTAGCAGATCTGTTATGGAGAGAGAGGGACGAGATTGGTTTGTGTGAGCAAAGACAGAGAGGCATGAGTAGGGCAAATGGACGGATCTGGATTAGGGGTATGACAATTCCCCTTGCTCCCTCGAACACCCCCGCCGATCCCAACGAAGCAATGAAAACGACCCAAAGCTCAACCCCAGATCGTCCTCCACGCTCGCCAAACTCCTCTCCCAGATTGTCGCGAAAACTCCCACCGACGGCTAATACGCCACTTCCTCGTCCTCCATCGAAAAAGCAATCTCGCCGACGCATCTAATTAAGGAGTGGGGTTGGAGAAATTGGACGAGGATATGACTATGAGGAAGGAGATTTGGGAGAAGAAAAGGGGATTTAAGTTGATTGGAAGGGTTCTTGGTAAGAATGATAGGTATAATTTTTGGGGGTTTTTTG